TGTATCAAGACTTAAATCTTCATACCCAGTTGAATGCAAGCTCAATTTGGTATAAATTTCTATCTCATATACATGTGTGGCTAAAAACCCCAGTTCTTGGGGTGTGAATTAGTGAATATGGGTTACGATAATTGTTGGGTCTTGCTTGCTGATACTTTATTAGTAGCTTAAATGTTATTTCGTTTAGTGGTTGTGGATGAATTTAATTAATTTGTAGTTGCAAATACAAGTTTATTTATGTTTTTTCTGCTTGCTTGAAAGAGAGGTCGTAAAACTAAAACCACTAAATTTATGGCCGGTGTGAGTGGGTCAACATGAGGTTCAGCTCGAGAGAGTGAACCCTAGTCCCATGTCCACATACTCAGCTCGAGAAAGTGAGTGGGTTAAGGCATAGGCTGGTCTTCATGCGGCAAATGGGTGTCCGAGAAGAACGCATTTGAAACAGGGTATGTTGCTCGAGAGAGAGCTTATCCCCCTTGAGGTCTAGCCTAGTTACTATTATTCTATGAATCTTCGATCGAAAGCATGTACCCAATAATCTAGCTTAACCCGTATTCCCGTCACATCCCAAGGATCCCCTCTCATTACTTAGAAACCCTTGTTTATTTTGTTGTTTTTACTTACTAGTGACAAAACCCCCCATTGTTAATTGACACTCTTGTGTCCCCCCCCCCCCCCTTTAACTTTACAATGTTTTTAATCGTTAATGTCTTTAGCTACGACTAGGTAGAACTACATTTTATTTTTTTCTATTAATTCTCAAAACCACTCTTTTGGGAATGATCTCAACCCTTGGTTGGGTTACTAAACTATTGTATGATCGTAGACACTTGCATCAGAATTTGTGTCTTGATTACGCAAACATCAAAATGGCGCCGCTGCCGGGGAGTGGTGTTATTTGAGGATTTTTAGCTTAATAAATTTTTTGTTCTTCTTATTGTAGTTTACTCACTTAATCTTCAGTTTTGTTTTGAGTATTTGTGTGTCACAACAGGACATAATGAGTGCAAACGAGGAGAATAGCTGCCAAGAGGGTCACCTAAAGGGTGGTGCTTTTCATCGAGACGGCATCGATGATGTTAATAGTGTTTATAACCCTGCTCACGTGGGCGAAATGGGTGCAATTTGCATGCCACAAGTCGACGGAAATGCAATGTTCGAAGTTACCAGCGCAACACTCCAGCTCATACATTCAAGAGGTTTATTTGGAGGATTAGAGCATGAAGATCCGCACGAACATATATGAAGCTTTGTGGAAGTGTGCACCCCTTTATCATTCAAGAATCTATCTCAAGAATCCATACGGCTTTTCTTATTTCCATTATCATTAACCGAGGGAGTTACTAAATGGTTGGTCGAGCTTTCAAACAACTTCATCAAATCATGGGAGGAACTGGTTATGGCATTTCATGAAAGATTCTTTCCTCCATCAAGGATGATGAAACTGAGAGACGACATTCAGAATTTCAAGTAAAAGGATGGTGAACCAATTCACGAATCATGGACAATGTTCAAGAGATTTTTGGGTAAGTGCCCAACGCATGGACTACCAGGTGAATTGTTGCTCCAATATTTTTACCGTAGTCTGGACTCGGTTAATAAAGGGATAGCTGATCAATTGGTGCAAGGAGGAATCATGTTACAATCATTTGAAGTAGCCTCATTTCTTCTAGATTATATGACTAAAGTAAACCAGGCATAGTACACCAAAGATGATTAGGTTTCCCCACTGTGCTTCCGATTAACACAAGAATAAATCGATAAAGAAAGGGAAAGGGACAAAAACATCAAAAAGATGTTGTCTCAAATGGAAATTCTACAAGAACATATGAAGGGGACGCATGGAGTATTTCGAGTTGAGGAGGGTTCTTTTTCTAGTTACTCAAGATCGAGGGAGAATCAAGGTTGGAACTCCGAAGATACGAGGAGGGTTTCCACCCACACTATCAATCGTGGGGCAGAAATCAAGGTTGGAACCATTATAGGGGTGAAGAACAAATGAGATATTGGCAAGATTGGGCTGAGCAGGATGATCATGAGGAGGACCATACTCACTTGAGTGAAAGCCCGAAATCTAAAGGGAGTGCAAATAGTCCTCGAGTAAATGATTTATTATCGCGCATACTCGATAAAGTTGAAGGGTCTGATGATTTGCTAAAAGGGATGAAAGATGACTTTTCATCATTGAACAGTAAAGTGAATTCTCATGCTGATGCCATCAAAATGATGGAAGGTAAATTGAGTCTATTATCAGCTCAATTAACGTCCAAAACATCGATGGAAGATATTGAAAGAGAGCTGGTTGTAGTTACCCGTAGCGGCAAGGTGGCAATAGGGAATGTGATGGAAGATGAGGATCCTCAAAAGCATGAAGAGAGCCAAGATGTGGAAGAACAAGAATTACCTATTCGACAAAACCTTACCAAAGAACCATAGGAGGAAGCAGAGCAACAAGTTCAAGTTCAAAAAGTCATGCACCCTTTACCCAAGATACCTCCACCATTTCCCCAACGTTTGAAAAAGAAGAATGAAGATGAGAAGTTCAGAAAATTTTTGTCAGTATTCAAGAACTTATCAATTAACCTTCCTCTGGTGGAAGCATTGTTGGAAATGTTGGGATACGCCAAATTCATAAAAGAGCAGGTTACAAAGAAAATGAGCTTGGACTATGAAATGATTGAGGTGCCCCATAGTTGCAGTGCAATTATGACAAATCAGTCAATCACTAAGAAAGAAGATCCTGAGGCATTCACAATCCCGTGCACAATTGGCATGCTCCAATTCGCTAAAGCTTTGTGTGATTTAGGAGCAATTATTAACTTGATGCCCTATGCAATATACAAGCAACTTGGTTTGGGTGAACCAAAGGCAACCACAATGAGACTCCTTATGGCTGATCGATTCAACAAGCACCCAGTGGGGATACTCTATGACATATTGGTAAAAGTGGATCGGTTCATCTTTCCGGCTGATTTTGTGATTCTAGATTGTGAAATCGATGCTGAAATCCCCATTATTTTAGGAAGGCCATACTTAGCTATCGAGAGAGCATTGGTGGATATCGAAAGCGGGAAATTGAAGTTCTGTGTGAACGATGATGAGGTGACCTTCAATATCTGTAAATTCATGAAGCAACAAAGTAATATCCATGTGGTGTCTACTGAGGATGTTATAGTTGAGGCAGTGGCAAGTGTGAGCCATTTAATGCGAAAGAATGAACCCCTTGAATCTGTAATTGCCAATTATGATGAATCAGAAGTTCAAGGCTATGAGGAAGTGATAGCTTCCTTATCGGGGTTAGGAGTATATTCAAGGAATCAAATCAAGTTGGATATCAACCTGAAAAATAGAGAAAGTCCTCCTGCAAAGCCATCAACAGAAGAACCACTGAGTCTTAGAGTTAAAAGCCTTACCCTCTCACCTCAAATATGCTTTCTTAGGAGCAAATAAAACTTTACCAGTGGTTATAGCAGCCGATTTTCTTGAAAAGCAGGTGAAATTGCCCATTGAAGTACTGCGGAAACATATAAAAGCTATTGGATGGACAATAGCCGATATAGTAGGGATTCCTTCTGGCATCTGTACTCACAAGATTCAGCTCTACAGTGAATGTAAACCTAGTGTGGAGCATCAACAGAGATTGAACCCTCCAATGCAAGAGGTGGTGAAAAAAGGAAATCATCAAGTGGCTAGATGCGGGAGTGATCTACCCTATTATAGATAGTAAGTGGGTAAGTCCGGTGCAATGTGTACCGGAAAATGGAAGTATAACCGTAGTCCCAAATGCAAAAGGAGAACGTGTGCCGACAAGACCAGTGACTGGGTGGAGAGTATGCATGGACTATCGAAAGCTTAACTCACGGACCGAGAAAGACCATTTTCCAATGCCCTTTATGGACCAGATGCTTGACCGGTTCTCAGAAAGAGGGTGGTCTTATTTTTTGGATGAGTACTCCGGTTACAATCAAATCTCTATTGCACCGGAAGACCAAGTGAAAACCACTTTTACTTGCCCTTATGGAACATTTGCATTCGAAAGGATGTCATTCGGTCTATGTAATGCCCCATCAACATTTCAGCGTTGCATGTTGTCTATTTTTGCGGATATGGTTGAAGACTCTATGGAGGTATTCATGGACGACTTCTGAGTCCTAGGGGATACGTTTGAAGAATGTTTGACACACTTAGGGCAGGTACTCCAAAGATGCGTGGAAACGAATTTTGTTTGAATTGGGAGAAATGTCACTTTATGGTGAAAGAAGGTATCGTTCTTTGGCATATCGCAAAAGCGGCTGGAAGTTGACAAGGCAAAAATTGAAGTCACTGAGAAATTACCCCCATTGATTTCAGTGAAGGGTGTTCGCAGCTTCTTGGGGCATGCAGGGTTCTACCGAAGGTTCATTAAAGACATCTCAAAGATTGCACAACCATTATGCAAACTCTTAGAGAAAGAAGTGAAATTCTATTTTAATGATGCTTGTATGGTTGCATTTCAGTGTTTGAAAGAGAAACTAGTATCCACCCCGATCATTATCAGCCCTAACTGGTCTGAATCTTTTCAATTAATATGTGATGCTAGCGGTATGGCATTAGGGTTCGTGTTGGGTAAAAAGTGCAACAAACTATTTCACCCAATATATTACGCAAGCAAGACTTTAAATAGTGCCCAGCAAAATTATACAGTCACTAAACAAAAGTAGCTTGCGGTAGTCTATGCATTTGAAAAGTTCTGGGCATACTTGCTAGGCACCAAAGTAATCGTACATACTGATCGTGCTGCACTCCGTTACTTGATGGCAAAGAAAGATGCAAAACCAAGAATGATAAGGTGGGAGCTACTATTTCAGGAATTTGATTTTGAGGTAAAAGATCAAAAAGGATGCGAAAACCAAGTGGCTGATCACTTATCAAGGCTGGAAGTAAGGGAAAATGATAAGCATGAGGTCGACATAGATGACTCCTTCCCCGATGAATAGGTGTTTGCAATATCTCTCAAATATACGCCATGGTATGCAGATTTTCCAAATTACATTGTGTGTGGGCTGATGCCGGATGAGTTGACCTTTTACAAACATAAGAGGTTCATGTTCGATGTTAAAAAGTACTTTCGGGATGAACCATACTTGTTTCGAGAGTGTGTTGACCATGTTATTAGAAGGTGTGTTTCGGAAGAAAAAGCGGTGGAAATTCTCCATGCTTGTCATACATCTCCAGTGGGAGGTCACCATGGTGGTATTCGCACCGCCGCTAAAGTTCTCCAGAGTAGATATTATTGGTCGTCCCTCTACAAGGATGCACATGAGTTTGCAAAGAAATGCTCT